ATTGTGTGTGTAAAGTATTATTTGAGTTTTCTGTCTTTTTTTTTTTTCATTATTTGCCAGGGTCATTTCTTCACTTCTCAGTAATCTTCTCTAATTATTACTTTTTTTTTTGTTTTTCATTTTCCTAATTGTGAGCTAAGTTTTCCTACAAGCTTTGTTTTTTATTTTCCTAATTGTAAATTTTTAGGTTTTCCTACAATCTTTGTTTTTCATTTTCCTAATTGTAATTTTGTAAGTTTTCCTGTAATCTTTTTTTTTTCAAATCCATTGAGCTTTGTTGTTATCTACTGAGCATTGTTGTGATCTATTGAGCTTCTGTTGTGTTCCATTGAGTTTTGTTAATTTTATTGAATTTTCTTTCAATTTTTTTTTTTCAACTTTTTGTCTATTTATATTGAGATTTTTCAAAAAAAAAAAGCTTTATTAAATTCTATTGAATTTTTTTGTTTTGTTGAGTTTCAAATTTAATTTTTAAATAAAAATAAAATAAAAAAAATATTTCAAAGAATTTAAATATTTTTAATATACTTTAAATTTACTTTTTATTTCAATTCTTTTTGTTTAAAAAAAAACTTTCTTTTTAAGACATAAGTTTCAATTTTTGTGAAAAATTTAAAAAAAAAGAAGTCTTTGTGGTTGAAACTACTTGCGGGGAAATTTTTTGATGACAGCGGTGGGATTTTTAAGGTAATTCAGTAGAATGTTTAAAAATCCCACCGCTGTCACCAAAAAATTGTTCAAATTTTCTAATCTCAAACTAAAGTTATTATAGAACTATATATGGATTTAATTTGTTTAAATTTATTTTATTTCAAATGATTATTATTTAATCAAAATTTATTTAATTTAAAATTGATACAATTTCATTTCATTAATTAAAAATTAATTTCAGAAAAATAACTTCCTTTTTACTTTCCATAAAGACTTCGTTCTTTTTTTTTTGATTCTATAAAAATTTTGTAGCTTTCTATGTTTTTTTTTTTTTTTTTTTTTTTTTTTAATGCAACAATAGTTTTGTAAGATTCTATTATGAGTGCTTCTTGTTTTTTTTTCTCACTATTATCTAATTGATTGAATGTGAAAAACATTTTTTATTTTTTTGGACGAACGTCATAAGCTCGTTTCGTTTCGTGAAGCACGGGAAAGCAAAAAACACCGACAAGCGACATTGATCCACGACAGCGTTGGTTAAATGGTTCTTTCTATATAGTGTTTATAACAATTACGCGTGTAGCACAAAGAGGTGAATATTGTCGATATATTTATATAAAAATGTGTGAATATTTATATGTATGTGTATGTAATAAATATAAATATAAACACACATATGTATACATATATACCGACGTGCAGAATTTGCACTCATCACAAAACATGGTAGACAAGAGCCGTACGATTTTTTTTTTATTTTTTTTTTTTTTTAGGGGAAGCAAAGAGAGGCACGAAATGCGACGCGAACGAATTGAATATTTAATATAGTGTGAGGCCTGACGAGCTTTGCGACTTTAACGAGCATATCAATGTTTCCTCATGGGAAAACTCGTGCCAGATGCTATATACGAAATGAAAAAAAGAAAAATAAAATAATAATAATAATAATATGAGAAAATGCAGATTTGGATATATATTATATTGGCTATTTCAAAATAAAGTGTTTCCTTCATTGCCTCTTGAAGTTGAGACGGGAAATGTACGGAGAAACTTTTAATAAACAAAAATTGATCAGTAGATAAAAATTTTTTAATTTTAGTTACCTACTTTTTATTAACATTTTTGTTCAAATATTTGAATTTCCTCCACTTTTTTTTTTACATTTTCTTTAAAATTATTTATTTTATATCTAATTATATAATTTTTAATACAGTAAAATTTGAAATTTTTTAAAATAAAATAATTATTTAAAAAAAAGTAAATTTTTTTTTTTTTTTGTCACAGAGAATTAATTAAAAAAATACTTGTGCTCTCGAGTTTGAAAATTATTTAAAAATACACTTGACTTTTTACGATCGATTTTCCTAAGGAAAGTTTCATGACATTTTTTTTTTTGTACCTATTTTTTTTCTGCACGTTACTTTTTCCAATTTTACTTTATTGAGAATTTTTTTTTCTTTTTCTTTTTTTAACACCTCATATAACAGTTTTTAATAGCTGCAACCAGAAAGATGGGGTTTTTATGAACCTGACAAGATGCCAGAGTGCATAACACTGAAATGAATTAATGAATTTTTTAAAATATGAATTTTTATTGTGTTTTCTGAATGTTTGAAAATTTTTTGTTTGAAAAAGAAATTTTTATTTTTCTAATGAAATTTTTATTTTTTTTTTTGATAGATAAGGAAGAAAAAGATTTCCTTTGTAATCTAATAAAGAAAAATAAGATAAATAGTTTGTGAAGAAAACAAATTTTTTTTTTTTAGTAAAATATTTATATATAGAAAAAGCTCGTAGATTCTTTTCAGTGTTGTAAATCATAAAATAGAATATATAAAATTATATTGCAAACGAAAGTAAATTTTATCACAATATTGAAGTTTTTTGCGTTCTCAATATTTTTTTTAGTGAAAAAGAAAAAATTTTTTTTTCCTAAATTGAAAAATATTTTCACAAAACCTATTAATTTTATTATATATATATATATATATATTTTTTTTTTTTATGGTATGGCGCACGTTATTCTTTAAAGAGAATATATTCTACTCGACAATTTTATATATATGGAATATTCCACCAAGGGATTAAATTATATTTTAAAGTTACTCTTCCTGAATTAATTGATAAATTTACCGCAAAAAAAAAAAAAATATTGTCGATTCGTTGAAAAAAAATATTTATTTTCAATTTTTCTGCTATATCAGCTATTTTATTCATTCGTATTTTGAAAAACTGTTATTACAAATGGTGTTATAAAAAATAATTCCCAAAAATATTTTAATTAAAAATGATTTTCACATTGAGGATAATTTTTTTTTTTCTCTCTTTTTCTTTAATTAAATTTTGAAAATAAATTTATCGCTAGTACTCAGTAAAATTATTAATATACGAAACGTTGAGAGGATAATTTTGTCGAATCACTATCCAGATTGTCGTAAAATTTAATTATTTTAGCGTCAATTATCTCCTTTTCTTACAGTGTGTGTGTGTGTAAGTGGAATTTGGTGAATTTTGTGTATGTGAAATTTCGAAAACATGATGTTATAATATAATTTGACAATTAAAATTTATTTGATTATAAAAGATCTTAATTTAAAGTCTTAAATGTATGTCTTAACATTTACTAGGTTTATTTATTTTTCAGTTTATTAATCTAAAATTTTTTAAATTAAATAATATTACGTTAATTATTTTTATTTTAGATAATTACTATTTTTTTCAATATTTATTTTTACATCTAATTTTTGTATTTGCTTTTATGTGGGATCCTCTTTAAATTTGAATTAATAAAAATTTTAACTGATTTTTTTTTTTGAAGTAATTTTTTTATTTGAAACAAATAAATATTTATTTGTCTCTGAAATTAATTTTTTTTTCTCTGGGATGTATAAACTGAAATGAAATAATTTTTTTTTGTAAATATAAATTACTAGTAAAATCTAAATTGTCCGAAACTTTTGCTTCGAAAATAGAAAAAATTCCTTCTAAAATAGTAAAGTTTATTTAATAAAGTTTATATTTACTATCCGAATATGGTAATTTTTACTATTTTCGGAGCAAAAGTTATTAGAAATTTTGGATTTACTTTGTAATTAGTAAAAATTAGTTTATTTTTCTTTTCGATTTTTCCTGGTGTAATTTTTTTTCAAAATTTACTTTTATGAGATAATAAATTAATAAAAAATTAATAATAAATTAATAATAAATTAATAATAAATTAATAATAAATTAATAATAAATAAATTTAAAAACTAATATGAAAATCTTTATAAAATAGAAAATATATCAAAAATATTCGCGAAAAATTTATTCACATAAATCTGAAATAAAAATTCAAAACGAAATAATTCACGTGCTTTTAAAACAAGTAAATCTTAATTTCAAACATTCTTTGCTTTCGGTGAAGATGAACAATTTATTTTTATGTTTCCACATATCTGTCTGTGTGTGTGAGGTCATGGATTGTATTCTCAATACGTGTTTCAGACTAAAATGAATTTATCATTCCGAGGTTTACAGTATACAGTAAATATCTAGACGGAAATGTCTGGGGAATGAGCCGGCAAACTGGATAGCGAACGACAAGTTAGATGACTCTTGATTCCAAGCGTATATACTGTATAGCTGACGCGATCAGACCCCCCTCAAAAAAAAAAAAAAAAAAAAAAACCGAACTCAAGGCTCGTAAACTGCAACTCTCTTTTCCCCCAATGTACTTTTCCTTCTCGTTTCGACATTCTCCTAGGTTTCTGATAAATATTCAAAGAAAAAAAAAAAAGTGGAAGGTTTATAGCGTTCCCACGGGCGATCCATCGCAGATTTCCCGCCTCGATCGGAAAACCGATCCCCAAGACGGACATGCGATCACGTTCGTGCCTCTCTTTTTTTTTTGCTTTTTCACCCCCTCCCTTTCTGATAAAAGTAACTTGTCTCTGGCTTCTTCATCTTATCATCATTATTACCTCTCTCAAGCTACCAAGCGTGTAAAGGACTATCTATAGAGCTTTGCTAGTGTGTTGCGTTCTTGTGTGGGATAAAGAAAAAAAGCCGGGCCAATCAACAAGAGGATATATCGATAGTGATGTTGGATTTTGAAAAAAAAAAAAAAATAAAAAAAATTCTCAATATCCAACATTACTGACGATATTTTCCTGGTTATTATTATTTTTTTTTTCAAGGGTGATATAGGGGGGGGGGGGAGGGAATGTTGATAAGCCCGTGGGATATAATATATATATATATATATAGGAAAAAAAAAAAAAAACGGTGCTTTGCGTGTTTATTATTTTTTTTTTTTTCTTTCTTTTCTTAGCGTGTTTGTATGTTTGTCTTTGGAGACAGTAGTGTACCTGGTTGCCGTCGTAGGTCCAGGATCCGAACTTCATGTCACAGTGTTGGTCGTCAAAGGGGAACCAAGTGATGTCTATCTTGCATGTGCTCTTGAAGATGCCCGGAGGGACGTACAGGCAACTGCCGTTATGCGTGACCACCACGTTTGTTTGGAACGTCCCGTCGAAACCCTCATCCGCACTAACGTTTCATCATGTATATGTATGTTTTGTGTTTCTTTTTTTTTTTTTTTAGTACAACTTACACATATACTTAAAATTTTTTTTTTTTCCACTCTATTTTTTAATTTTTTCTATTCAATAGAATCATTTCATAATTATTAGAATTTCAAGTCCAATTGATATTTTCAATAACAGTGGGTGATCGAACACGAAAATATTGAATTTTTTTTTTATTTTCAAATATTAAAATTTATTTTTTTTGTATATTTACAAATTATCTTTTATAATTTTTTTTTTTGCAATTCTTTTGCCCGCTAATTACTCTAATTAAACTTCTTTCTAATTACATTGACATAATAATTTTGAATCAATTATTTAATTAAAAAAAATTCCTTTTTAATTAAATTTTCAATTAATAAATCCCTTGGTTATTTCTTATTGTTTCCTTTAATATTTCATTAATTGCGCTAATATTCCAGTTTCATTATAATAATTATAGTGAATGTATATAATTTACTCACTGAACAATCTCTTCCAAATGAACTTTAATGAAAAATTCTTTAATTAGTTCTTCTTTGAATAATTTCTTCGATTAGAAAATTTTTGTTTTTTGTTCATTATATATTTCAAAAAGATATTTATATGCTATAATTACATATTAATTACATATACTATTTACTTTATTATTTTATAATTATTGCAATAAATAATTTTTTGCAGTTAAGTGCAAAAGCATAAGAAAAAGTAAATAATTCCTTCAGTTTATGATAAAAATTATTTATTCCTTACAAAATTATTTATAAAAATTCTTTATAAAATTATTTTTAAAAATTATTTGTAAAAATTATTTGTAAAAATTATTTGTAAAAATTATTTGTAAAAATTATTTGTAAAAATTATTTGTAAAAATTATTTGTAAAAATTATTTATAAAATTATTAATGATAAATTATTTCAATTGAAAATATTATAATGATGAAATAGAAAAATTACATATTGGTTGTTTTTTTCATGTTCGATCAACACTGTTATTATTATTAAGTATTTATTGTGAGAAAGATAAATTTTATTTTAAGACATTTTGTTTTTAAATTTAAAAATTTAGTTTCAGTTTAGCGTAACGGTTATTAATTCTAATTATATTGAGAAAGAATATATGCGATATTATTGTATATATATATATATTTTTTTTTACGTGTATTATATTAGCGTATATCGTTTAGAAATAATTATTTAGCAAAATATTTATCGATAATAAATTAAATTATTTACAAAAAATTTATTTATATACATTGTATCGTTTAAATGAATTAATTGAAAATTTTGTTTAAATTTTCTTCTTTTATTTTAATCGAACGAATTAGAATAAATTTTCTTTTTTTAAATCGCTTATATATATATATATTAATAATTAAGAAATAAAAATCAGTGTTAAATTAAAAGATCATTAGAAGAGAGATATAAAGTGTCAATTAAAATTTTCAAATTGAATTCTATGTGCGATTATTATTATAGGTTGGAAAATATATTTGCTAGCTCGATATAGAATATAGTTGGTATAAATAAATTTCGATAAATAATTAACAATATATAATGATAATTATTATCAGTATTATCAATTATAAATAAAAAAATAAAGAAATAAAAATCAGTAATTATAAAACTTTGTAATAAAATAAATCGATGTATCTTTAAAAAAAATAGTTTAGTGAAAAAAATTATTATCAAATTGTAAAATATAATTATCAGTGGAAATTATCAAATTATATCAATATGTTAATAAAAATAGTGATTATACAATTTATTGATGAATTTGAATTTGATAAGTATCATTTTGCACATATCCTTTTGTTGCACATATATATGATGAATTATAATAAAGGTTTTGTAATTTTCAATGGATATGATCTCAATGCATCTCGTTAAATATTCAAAATATGTTCTCTCTCTCTCATTAAACAATAAATATCAATCTGTACGAGTATTATATAATAATAATGGATTCATCGTTCATTATTTATACCTATATTAACCTAAATTTTCTAAAAGTTTTTAACTCCTCTTCTTTTTTTTTTTTGAATCATAAAAAAAGAATCACCAACTTTTTCTTTCTCTAAAGTGTCTTAAAATCATTTCAACTGGTTTATAGTTATATGACATAATTTCTAAGAGGATTACGTCACACTAAGTAGACATTTATTAAAAAGAGAGAGAGAGAGAAAAAAAATCGAATAAATTTGTAAAAAAAAAAATTAATAATTTGCGATAAAAATAAATAAGTAATTTTTATACTTTAAAAATATATTGTAAATATTTTCGAGTAACTTTTTTCTTTTTTATATTCTATAAATCGTCTTATTCAAAGACTTGGAAATTTTCAAAAAAATACTATTGTACAACAAAAGGAAAAAAGTGCAACAGTTTCATTAAATTCAGTACTTGAGACTGTGACATTTGCGGTCCTTCAGGCTAACTAAATAAGTAATGCAGTCCTTGAGGGTAACTTGGCAATTCTTTTTAACGAGACATTGTTTCTAAAAGAGATCAACTTGCTCCCATTTTTACAACACTTTTTTCCACATGTATTTTATTTTAAAAAAATATTTAAAATTTAGTTTTTTCTTTATTAATATTCAATATTTCAATAAAAAAAATTTTTTTTTCGAAATTTTTTCAATGAATACTAAATAAAATTTTATTAAAATGTTTGTAATATTTTGTCTATTTTCTTTTCTTTTTTTTTTTTTTTTTATTTTTATAAGGAGGGGCACCAGTTCGTGCAATTCATGAATTGTAAGAAACGCTTGTGTTGATTGTTCCGTACGAACAATGCCGATGCACAGTGCCATTGTTTCCATACTTTTGGATAAATTCTGTTTTTAAGTGGGCTACATTTTCTGGTGCTATCCTACTCACTCAACAAGTGATTCAAAGAAATACCCCCTTTTGTTTGACAACATACCAAAAGAAAAATGGTTCATTTTTTTTTTTTTTCAAAAAGTCTTCTTGAGTAATTATTACAGTTCCTTGAATTTCAATTGTACAACACTTTAAGAACAATATTTGCCTTTTATATAATTTTAAAAGAGAAACAAGTTTCTAATTGTACGAATTTTTTTTTCTCGCGAAATAAAATTTTTTTTAAATCTTTATTACTTTATTTTATAAATTGATTTTGAAAACAAAGTTACTTTTAGTGATTGTAAAAATTTATTTTTATATTTACTAAATTTATCCATTTTCAAATATATAGAAGAAATTAAATGTCAAATCAAAGACAACCTTTAACTTATGTAAAAATTTTATCAAGTCTAAAAATTAATTTCCATGATTATTTTAACAATTTTTAATTTAGAGAGAAAAAAAATAGAATTATTACTTTTCAATTAAATCAAAACTATTTTTACAATCCTTAATTTAGAAAGAAAAAAAAATTTTTTTTAGAAAAAAGAAAGTTCATGGTAACAATTATTGATTGTTTCTTTAAAAATATTTTCAGTGTCAAAAATTTTCTATTTTGAAATACTTTTTTTCTACTGTCTTAAACACTTTTTTTTTTTTTTTTGTTCTAAGTTTATATTTAATCGGCTTAAAACTTGGAAAAGTGTTCTAAAAAATTAAATTGCCCTCCTTTGACAAATGTGCAATTATAATTGCCGTAACGTGAATAATCATGCACGAAAGAACACATATTATATATGGCTTGAAATCTCGCGACGTCAAAGTAGAATTTGAAATTTTCATTCCCGCGTCATATAAACTCGACAAACTTTTGCATTTCCCCCTCCACATACACTAATGGAGTACTCGCAAACTTTCCCGAGACTCATAACTCATAAGAATTAATCCCCGTTTTATCGAAAAACAATTTTAGCTGTTCTAGATCGTCCTTCCAGTCATGTAAAATAATAAAAAAAAAAAAAAAACTACTTTCTGTATTTTGCAAATAAATCTTTAAAAAAAAAAAAAAAAAAAAAAAAAAAAAACATCTGTGTTCAGTAGATAGGTACATTAAAGAAATTTTTTTTTTTTTTTTGAAAAAACTATAAACAAAAAATTTTAACAATTTTTCAAAACAATTCCTTCATAATTTATACCAAGTTTTCTCATAAAAAATTCATGTTTCATTAAAGTTGTTAAATCTTTATGAAGAATATTCATGAAAAACTTTTTTCAATGAAAGTACTTGAAATACTTAAAGACCTATTTTCATTTGACCTACTGATTTTTTTTTTTAAATCATATATTCTATATCTAGCGAAGCATATTTCCAACCTTTTTTTTTTGTGAAATTTAAATTTATTTTAACTAAAAGTTGTTGCTATTTTTTTTTCGCATGTTATTCCTAAAAGCCTAAATTCCTGCCTAACGTTGCCACGAGTGCTTGAATTTTTGAATAGGATAATATATACATATATTAATATTTTTATCCTGATGATACGTCCCATATATAATTATAATAATAATAATAAAAATAATAGTAGTAATAATAATAATAATCAAGGTAAAAAATCCGATAAATAAACGCGTTTCGCGCCTAATCGCGAATTTTTCAAAAAAAGGACATTATATTTATGGATTTTAGGGTGATATTAGATTATTATAATTAGAGTTTCATTATAAAAAGTTTTTGATTTAATTAGCTCTTTGTTTAGAGTCTGGCGGTTACGGTTTCATCCACTGAGCCACGAAACCCGCTTCCCCCTATTATTTCCCCCTTATTGTGATCAACATCTCTCCTTTCTCTCTCACTTTCTTCTTCTTCTTCTTCATCTTCTTCTTCGTCTTCATCTTCATCCTCTATCCTTTGTTTCGAAAACTTCTCATCAAACAATAGTCTTTGAAACTTGGAAATTTAACGTGAATCTTAGTGAATTGAGATTGCATTCCTCAACCACAGTCTTTTCTCAAAAACTATTTCCAATATGTGTTTATAAGTTTTCATTTAATTTCAAAAATTTTCGTCAATCTTTTTTTTTTCATAATAATTCAAGTCCAAAAAAAATAAATTGAAAAAGAA